CCCCCAAGGGAAGTACCTTGATGTTGGTGAGGGGCTCTTGAATTTGATCTATTCTCCAGTTCCCTGAATTGGGCCTGAATGCCATCCATCTCCACCCCACAGGTACTGTATAATCCCTACGAGTTTAGCACTCCACCATACTAATATAAGAAGGCAATCGCCACAAGAACACCTAGTGAAATAAACTTCAAACTTTCTAAGGCTATACCATTCCTCGGAGACCATATGAACCCTACAAGTTTAGGGCTCCCCTATAAATTTAATGATAGTTCAGTGAAGGAGACTTATTTTAATCAGGAAGGGACACTAAACCCACAGGGATCATTACAGTGCCTGAGGAATGGGAGGTGATCATGTTCGATCCAAATAAGAAAGTGTGATTTGCTGGAACAAGAACATGGACGCTCTGCTGTTCAAATGCCAGGTGAAACATTTGCTTTCGATGACTTGCTGTCTAAAAGAGAAGATGTTGCGTCCCTGATTGGATCCAAGGTTAATAATTAATATTGTGTGCATATATTTTCCAATTCACTTAATACTATATTAGCGGAAGGCCTCGGTCAGATGACCAAAAGCTCCAAAGGCGGGTCATCATCTGACTAAGACCCGCGTCAGGAAACATTTGTCCTGTTTCCTGACGAACCTTACCTAACCTAACCGATGGCATTATTAATAGCTAAAATAATGTTCATTGTGCTTTATAGTATTATCTGCCCTTATATTGTTAGTTATGTGGATAGGTAGGATGTTTATTCTAAGTGAAAGGCGCTTCACTGTGAGTAGCAACCTGGCTAACTGTTGTTAGGTTGTTAGTTGTCTGGCGGTCCCTCACACCGTCGATGTCACGAGGTATTGTAAGGCTTGGAGGAGGAGTCTAAAGTCAGTCTGGGCTTACATAACCAAGGGAGCAAACCTCACTCAGTTACTCGCTGACCTCTTATAAGAGACATACCAAGTTCTCTCTGGATGTCGATTTCCTTTCGTAGTTGATTTCCTTTCTTTAGTTTGTCACTTTCGAGTTATCCAAACTCTACTGAATTAATCGTTCAGTTGACTGAATAAGCTTTGTCGGACTTTGTGTGTTAATTTGTGGTCTAAGCTATTCTAAGTCGTGCTGGATGGAAATAAGACTAGGTCTATCACTTACGAGTTCTTGTATACTCTGAATTAATAGTTCAGTTAAGTCTTAGTAACCATTGTAGGTTACCTTGTGGATAAGTCTTAGTAACCATTGTAGGTTACCTTATGGTGGATAAAACTGGTGATGTTAATACAAAGTTAGACCTTATGAGGTTGATTTATCCATATCAATATACTGGTACGTACCAAGAGAAGTGTAAAAGTTAAACTCCTTATTTTATGTCAGTCCTAACATTATATAAGCATCTATTCAGCTAAACTTTACTAGTAGAGATTCTAAGTTTGTTACTTGTATTGCAATTCCTGATTATTACAATTTATTCACTGATTATTACAATTTATTCACTGAAAGTAGAAGTGATGCAAGGAGGGAAGAGTATATGGAGAAAAAGAGAGAAGTTAAGAGAGTGGTGAAGCAATGTAAAAAGAGAGCAAATGAGAGAGTGGGTGAGATGTTATCAACAAATTTTGTTGAAAATAAGAAAAAGTTTTGGAGTGAGATTAACAAGTTAAGAAAGCCTAGAGAACAAATGGATTTGTCAGTTAAAAATAGGAGAGGAGAGTTATTAAATGGAGAGGTAGAGGTATTGGGAAGATGGAAGGAATATTTTGAGGAATTGTTAAATGTTGATGAAGATAGGGAAGCTGTGATTTCGTGTATAGGGCAAGGAGGAATAACATCTTGTAGGAGTGAGGAAGAGCCAGTTGTGAGTGTGGGGGAAGTTCGTGAGGCAGTAGGTAAAATGAAAGGGGGTAAGGCAGCCGGGATTGATGGGATAAAGATAGAAATGTTAAAAGCAGGTGGGGATATAGTTTTGGGAGTGGTTGGTGCAATTATTTAATAAATGTATGGAAGAGGGTAAGGTACCTAGGGATTGGCAGAGAGCATGCATAGTTCCTTTGTATAAAGGCAAAGGGGATAAAAGAGAGTGCAAAAATTATAGGGGGATAAGTCTGTTGAGTGTACCTGGTAAAGTGTATGGTAGAGTTATAATTGAAAGAATTAAGAGTAAGACGGAGAATAGGATAGCAGATGAACAAGGAGGCTTTAGGAAAGGTAGGGGGTGTGTGGACCAGGTGTTTACAGTGAAACATATAAGTGAACAGTATTTAGATAAGGCTAAAGAGGTCTTTGTGGCATTTATGGATTTGGAAAAGGCGTATGACAGGGTGGATAGGGGGGCAATGTGGCAGATGTTGCAAGTGTATGGTGTAGGAGGTAGGTTACTGAAAGCAGTGAAGAGTTTTTACGAGGATAGTGAGGCTCAAGTTAGAGTATGTAGGAAAGAGGGAAATTTTTTTCCCAGTAAAAGTAGGCCTTAGACAAGGATGTGTGATGTCACCGTGGTTGTTTAATATATTATATAGATGGGGTTGTAAGAGAAGTAAATGCGAGGGGTCTTGGCAAGAGGCTGGAGTTAAAAGATAAAGAATCACACACAAAGTGGGAGTTGTCACAGCTGCTTTTGCCGATGACACTGTGCTCTTGGGAGATTCTGAAGAGAAGTTGCAGAGATTGGTGGATGAATTTGGTAGGGTGTGCAAAAGAAGAAAATTAAAGGTGAATACAGGAAAGAGTAAGGTTATGAGGATAACAAAAAGATTAGGTGATGAAAGATTGAATATCAGATTGGAGGGAGAGAGTATGGAGGAGGTGAACGTATTCAGATATTTGGGAGTGGACGTGTCAGCGGATGGGTCTATGAAAGATGAGGTGAATCATAGAATTGATGAGGGAAAAAGAGTGAGTGGTGCACTTAGGAGTCTGTGGAGACAAAGAACTTTGTCCTTGGAGGCAAAGAGGGGAATGTATGAGAGTATAGTTTTACCAACGCTCTTATATGGGTGTGAAGCGTGGGTGATGAATGTTGCAGCGAGGAGAAGGCTGGAGGCAGTGGAGATGTCATGTCTGAGGGCAATGTGTGGTGTGAATATAATGCAGAGAATTCGTAGTTTGGAAGTTAGGAGGAGGTGCGGGATTACCAAAACTGTTGTCCAGAGGGCTGAGGAAGGGTTGTTGAGGTGGTTCGGACATGTAGAGAGAATGGAGCGAAACAAATGACTTCAAGAGTGTATCAGTCTGTAGTGGAAGGAAGGCGGGGTAGGGGTCGGCCTAGGAAGGGTTGGAGGGAGGGGGTAAAGGAGGTTTTGTGTGCGAGGGCTTGGACTTCCAGCAGGCATGCGTGAGCGTGTTTGATAGGAGTGAATGGAGACAAATGGTTTTTAATACTTGACGTGCTGTTGGAGTGTGAGCAAAGTAACATTTATGAAGGGATTCAGGGAAACCGGCAGGCCGGACTTGAGTCCTGGAGATGGGAAGTACAGTGCCTGCACTCTGAAGGAGGGGTGTTAATGTTGCAGTTTAAAAACTGTAGTGTAAAGCACCCTTCTGGCAAGACAGTGATGGAGTGAATGATGGTGAAAGTTTTTCTTTTTCGGGCCACCCTGCCTTGGTGGGAATCGGCCGGTGTGATAATAAAAAAAAAAAATAAAAAAATAATACAATTTATTGTTACGAAACCGTAAACAGGCCATCTGCTCAACAAGAATATACTACCTTAACACTCTACCATACTTTGGAGAAGTTTAAGAAGACGAGTTTTGTAACAGAAGACGATGGTAATACAACGGTACTGGTCCTACGAGGCACGTCTAAATGGGACGGTCCTCGCACACGGGGATCAACAAGGTACACATTTGTAAAAGTGAAAAAGAAGAGATGAAATATAATTTGCTAATGGAGGAGGCATCTGTGGTGGAAGGAGAAGTGTGATGTGTAAAATGTCATTCAAATTGCCACGGACAGTGTTATAAGCTAGACTACAAGAATAGGAAGAAAGAATTTCAAGGATGTGATCCCAATCATGGAGATCATTGACCACTGTTCATTAGACGGCCAGTGCTACAGAGGTTGAGCAAACTGAGACACTCACTCGTATAATGATGAGTTGGAGGATCTACATAGCTCGAAACCCCAGTATTTAGGAAACAAAAGTCAAGGGACAAGGAAAGATCGTCACATACAGCATTCTCCACCTGACATCATCTCATAAATACTCACGTACCTTTTAAGATTTTCGTTCGGATTTTTAACCCCGGAAGGTTAGCCACCCAGGATAACCCAAGAAAGTCAGTGCGTCATCGAGGACTTTCTAACTTATGTCCATTGAGGTCCTCAATCTTTTCCCCCAGGATGCGACCCACACCAGTCGACTAACACCCAGGTACCTATTTGCTGCTAGGTGAACAGGACAACAGGTGTAAGGAAACGTGTCGAAATGTTTCCACCCGCCGGGAATCGAACCCGGGCCCTCCGTGTGTGAAGCGGGAGCTTTAGCCACCAGGCCACCGGGTAGTTCTCGTACGCACGTCATACATTGCTTTTGCCGCAAGGAAGTGGTCACGATGTTCCAAGGTCACGGTGTACCAAGGTCACAATGTTCCAAGGACACGCTGGAGGACTCGGATTTAGAAATGTGGGGAGCAATCCTAGCGAAGAAGTTGCGAGACCACTCCGTGTCAGAGGAAGAGTCTGTTGATCTGACAGCTCCAACCATGCAGCCAGCGAATACCGAACGATGGATCAATGTGAACACGCCGCCCGTCCAAGGAGCAGGCAAACCAGGTCAACCCATCTGGCACATTCAAGATAAAAGCTTATGGGGAACACAAAACTATGGAGCGGTAGCTAAAGCTAGCTTCGAGGAGTCATTTATTGCACCATTCACAGGCTTGATTTTCACACGATGCGACAGCATTGTGAAAAAGGATGTGACGTTTGTAGAATATAAATTCCCCACCCCGGCGTGGTCGAAGGGAGGCTTCTTGAAGAGAGTCATGGAGACAGACCGCTCCTTCACCCTGGAGGAACTGGATTCTCGGCAAATTACCAAGGGTGTAGTGATGCGGTACCCGCTGATGATGCCCATCGAGGCAGTAGCAGCTCACCCCAGTGTGGTGTCACCTCAGCGTCTGAAGGCAAAGACGGCAGGCAACGCACCAACCTGGCAGGTCCTCATCCAGCATGTAGGACCGTTGCCATCCCAGCTGGACCTTGGTTCTTAGGGCAGGTATGATGTCAGGACCTTCACGGCAGAATCAGTTCGCTGTTTCAAGTGCCAACGTTACGGACACCAAAATCACGCCTACACCAGTGGAAAGAGACAGATGTGGCAGAGACGTATCTTTTCTTTGCAACAATAATGTTTATGCTACATGTGTATAAGCACAGTGTCAAATCATACTGGTCAACAGACCGCCTGATCGCAACCCAGGTTTCAGTGATATAATACGAGTGAATCGATTTGTGCTACTATTGGGTATGCTACACTTCTCAGACAAAACCAGGCCTGACAGAAACGACAGTTTATATAAGATTAGGAATGTGTTTGTGCATCTGAAACAGAAATTCAATATGCATTTTTATCCCTTCACGAAGCTTGTTATTGACGAGTCTTTGATTCTGTTCAAAGGTAGACTGTCGTTCAAGCAGTACATACCAAGCAAGAGGAAACGCTTTGGTAAAAGTTGTTTGTGCTTTGAGATAATAATTATCTTCAGTTTCCCATTCCCCAACCCACAAAGTAACTAAAACAACCCCAGAGCTAACAGAGGGATATGTACAAGTGAGCAACAGAGGAGTGAGTGGCAGTCAGGGTTTGCCCACCAGTGGGGCCGCAGCTTCACAGACAAATGGAAACTAAGTACTATACAGGTCATAGTGCATAGCAAATGCACAGGGCTGTGCTAAGTATGGCCTACATATATCACGGCCACCCTAAAAGAGTCGAAGTCTACCTAGCTGGCACAACCAAAAAAAGTTTGTAGTCCCCCACCATGTACGTCAAGGAACCACCATCAGGTGAAGAAAGGATCACTTTCGATTATAGTGAGGACATCAGGAAGTATCAGGTATGGGCTCTAAACCAGCAATAGTTGTGTTGATTGCAAAACGAAATAATTACTTTCATGTACTGAAAGGACGACTTGCAAATCGCAAGTTGTCCTTCCATTATGTCTTCCGGTACGTACCTCCGGATGCGGCTTCTAACGTGAGTTAGAAACCGCAACTGTTGTTTACACTAGTTAGTATAACACTAAATATTGACAGTCTATAACTCCTTTGCCATAATAAAAGTTTGGTCCCAAAGAGAACAAACAATTGTGAAAAAAAAGAAATGGCATTTACAAAATACTCAATATACCATAATGACCAATCAGCCAACAAATGATTCAGTAATCCATTCTAGACAAGTTTTGATATATCAGAGTTGTTTTTATAAATTAGTGAAGTTTGAAACTACATTAATGCCCTCTGTCCAGTTGCCTTTACTAATATTTTAGGCTATCTTTTGGTAATAATCAATGTCCAACACCTAAGTAATGTTTCCAAATTAAGTTCAGTGAAATTCTAAATTAATTCATTGTTGATGTAATGATGCCAGTTAGATTTTTACTTCTGGTAGATAGTTCTGCTGGTAGATGGTCTTTGGTTGGAAGGGAATGCCAACTTCACCACTGCCGGGAGTTTCTTCCAGTAGTTTCTGAAAGTCTTCAGCTGATCTCTTGATCTGAAATAAAGCAAATGTACATAAAGCTATATAATACTGTTTAAACTATTAGGAAAAATAATCTTTTGTAATATTAGTTTGAAATCTCTCTAAAGTTAATCTGAGTATTTCTCTAAACCTAATTTGAGTATTTCGGAAAATCTACTCGGCCCAATTTTTTACATCAAATCTGCCCTACTCTTAAATAAGGGAAAAAATATACCATTAACTATAGAGAATACTTAAGCTGATGTTATCTCAACCTCTTTTCTTAAATACTTTGAAATTTAAAATTTATTTAGTGAAATATGTAAACATGCTTCCTATTCACTACACACAAGAAGAATCTCCGTACTAACAGCATTAGTCTTCTACCCCAAGACTTTTAGTGAGCAAATTACAACTCCCTCAAGTCTTGTTCCATCTCTAATTCCTCAGTTTCGATCATCCTACATAATTAACCTAGCTATACAAGATTATAAACATTCTTCAGCTGCTACTTCAACCCTCGTATCTGCCTAACATACTAGAATTTAGAGGAAATTTAAGTAATTCATGTTAAGCGCTAAACCCATGTTGGTCATTCAGCACAAGACATGGTAGTGGCTTGATACTCCATCCGACGAGCGCGAGACAGACAGGCTTACTGTAAGTATTCACTGCAATATATTACATTTCACTACAATATATTACACTGCACTATATTATATTACAATACACTACATCACACATTACACCTCTACTCAACCCTTTGACCCCATTTCCTGACGAGAGATGGCAATACATCAAGTCACAGGCCGATTGTATCAGAGAAATTCTAATATTTGTTTTTCAATATGAGAATGTCGAGGAGAGTTTGGGAGGTCAGGGTCCTAAAGTTGTTGAGGACGAGGCACTTGAGATCTCATCTGCTGATGACGATGAATACCAGACCTCTTCATCCTATAAGAGCAAAATTCTTACAATAGACTTACAAGGTCTGAGAGCCCAGTTATAGTCATTTTCTAATGAATTAGATTATTTTGTGCAGGGTTTCGAGTAAACTCGATTTGTCGACCCCATTCTCTAAAGAGATTCAACAATACATCGACTTTGTTGTAGAAATTCTTATTATCTTCACTGATCAATATATGAAGAACTCCTCCTTGCGGTGTACCTAGGGACATTCATTTCTTTAAACTCGTTTCTAAAGCCTTGGTAGAGGACGAGGAGTATCAAGTTAAATCAAGGCATTTTTTTTATCAACAAGAGCATTTAGTCGAGTTTATGACAAACCTGCAGGATTTTATAAAGACGTCATACGAGCTTAACCCAAGGTCGGAGTTTGCTGACTAGGAATTTTTTGACTCGTCCATCGCATTTGCAGAACAAATAGGCGTCTTCCTTGACTCACTGTAGGAGTTCTTGGATCGCAGTATTCAAGACTGTTCAGCTACATTTTGAAGATTTTGTTGATTGTATTATTTTTTATGTTTTTTTTTATGATTTTTTTATTTTTTTTTATGAGGATCGAAAAAAATGACAAAATGTAAAATGGTGGTGTAGCTTCTGTACTGTGTGAGTTTGTCTCTGGATGCTTGATTCAGGAGGAGGCTTCAAGCAATGTAGATGTGTGTATGATCAGTGTTGTGGTTAATATGTAAAGTATAAGGAATAAGGTAATTACAATATGATGTGGAAGGTATAATTCAAGGAGTGAGGCAGAGTGTAGAAATGTAGGAGACATTTGTTCATCCAGTTGACGTGTTTGAGGATGCTAGGTAAATAGTTCATGTTATTTTACGTATTCTTACTGTGTACGCATAATATATCTGGAGATAGAGAAATGAGTTAGACTGACTTGAATTGTGGAGGAAGTTCAGTGATTAAAGTAATTCCTATTACACAAAAGTAATCCCTGTTTTAGTTTAGCGCTTCTTTTTGATTATAATAATAATAATAATAAATCCCTGTTTTAGGGATTGAAGTAATTCCCAATTTAGTTATTATTCTCTATTTTAGGTATTAAAGTAATGCTCAGTACCTTCACTCTGAGTGATGGGTGGGAATGTTGAAGCTCTTAAGGTGAGAAGAACAGTATTTGCACTGAGATTCTGCAGTTTTCGATTCGAGATGGAAAGTATAGTGACAGCACTGTAAAATGATTTTGTGAGGTGATAGTGTACAGCAACATTTCCACATTTTTAACGAGCGTGTGAAAGCATGTGCTTAAAATCTTGATGTACGTCCTGCGCTGCCAGACGCCCCCGTAGGACTTGTTCCTTAATCCAAAAATGTGGAGCTGATGACTTTTCCTTTGGTCAAATTTGTTACCTTCTATTCCTTAGTCTTTGTATGTTCCCTATATAGATAAAACACTTCCATAATGATAATATTACTGATAATAAGAACAATAATATTAATAAAGAATTTAAAGGAAATATGACTAACTGTACTTTGAAAATTATGTCAACTACATGTGACGATACTTTTAGCTTCTCACCGGAAATGTTCACACTTAAAATCTTTCAGTTAAACGTATTGGTTGTATTAATAAATAACACAGTAATGGAAAATCACTTACGTCTATATAGTGGACACGAAGAACTTGCAGGAAGTATGTCTCTAAGAATATGTATAAACCAGAAGGGAGACAGAACAACAGCGTCCTCCACATACTATAAATCACAAAAACTACAACGAGAACTATTAAAGCAAGGCTGGAGAACATAATACCCAGGAGTTTCATCACCATTTGGGGAGCCATCAAGCATGGTATATCCTGGAACAAAAAAAATGTATAAGGGTCATACCTAATCCATAACGACCAGGTGAGGTCATTTGTCACTGAATGCTAAAGGAACGGTGAATATTATTTATAAAAATACAAAAATAAGTGCTGAGGGCTGGTACGAAAATGTAATACAAGTCATGGACACTAACAAGAGAAAATTCTCACTCAAAGTTGTGGCTATTGAGCCATTTCCAGAAAATTTACATCAGACTGAAGAATACCTGAAAATCTTCTTTAGCTAATTCTTATTTGTTAATTTATGAGAAATCACAGAAACTGCATCAACTCTGTTGTGGGGGATTTTTCTGCATTGTACTTCAGTAATTTGTTCTTCTGTTCAGTCAGGCATTTTCCTTGATTTAAATGACTGGGATATCTCCTCATCAAAATTTTAGCAATAACTCAACATTTTCATTAACAAAATCTTGGAAGAAAAAATCCAATGAATGAATAGTTAATAGAAAAACATGAGAAACAGAAAAAATTCACGAAGGAGAAGAATGGTGAGAGAAGAACAAGAAGAAACAAGAGAACAGAGCAAAGATAAAGAGAAGGGCAAAGAAAGAAAGCAGTGATAAAATAATAGTGAGGAGGAAAGAAGAAAAGGAAGAGAATGAGGAAAGAGAGCAGGCGTGGAAAGAGAAGTAAGTAGGAAAAGAATAAAGGAGAGACAGAACAAAAGACGAGGAAAGCAGAATAGAGAGAAAAATATTAAACAGTGCCGAATCTTATTATACAAAGAATCATTTTATAGTAACGTAAATTAATTTGGCCAAACTTACCTTAAACATTCAAAATTCTTGCAAAAATGAGTGACCTTGTGCAGAATTGTTTCTATACACAAAATAAAAATGGGTCTTTGCTAATGCCCTCTGGGCAATAAGTTAGTGAAAGCTTTACCTTTTCCTTCCTTGGATCAAACCTAATTATAAAACCTCTCATTTGGCGCTTTATTACCATTACAGATTTATACTTCCATGAATAATAATAATAATAATAATAATAATAATAATAATAATAATATAATAGTAACTAATAATAATAGTCTTTGTCAGCAATCTAAACTCTACTGCTCCTTAAACCCAAAATTTTATCTAATATTTACTTCGGTCTTAGAAAATGCCTTTCAGACACTTAAAGAAGCCATGCATTTATTTAAACACGCCGGTCATTTCCCACCAAGATATAGTAGGGTGACGCAAAAAAAAAAAAAAACATTCACCTCGGTGTCACCGCACTACTTTACTCTGAGGAAACGTCCTCTCATTTCACCTGTTGCTACATTTGCAACATTGCATAGCTCCTGATGACGCGTGGAGATGCGTGAAAGATTTTGAGCCGATCATTCATTTAATAGCCGTCTTGCCAGAAGTCTGCTGACATAATAATTCAAATGATTCTCCGGACTGCATCGTCACCACACCTCCTTCAGTGTGTAGACACTGTACTTCACACCTCCTTCAGTGTGTAGACACTGTACTTCACACCTCCTTCAGTGTGTAGACACTGTACTTTCACACCTCCTTCAGTGTGTAGACACTGTACTTCACCCTCTTCAGTGTGTAGACACTGTACTTCACACCTACTTCAGTGTGTAGACACTGTACTTCACACCTCCTTCAGTGTGTAGACACTGTACTTCACACCTACTTCAGTGTGTAGACACTGTACTTCACACCTCCTTCAGTGTGTAGACACTGTACTTCACACCTACTTCAGTGTGTAGACACTGTACTTCACACCTCCTTCAGTGTGTAGACACTGTACTTCACACCTCCTTCAGTGTGTAGACACTGTATTTCACACCTCCTTCAGTGTGTAGACACTGTACTTCACGCCTCCTTCAGTGTGTAGACACTGTACTTCACACCTCCTTCAGTGTGTAGACACTGTACTTCACACCTCCTTCAGTGTGTAGACACTGTACTTCACACCTCCTTCAGTGTGCAGACACTGTACTTCACACCTCCTTCAGTGTCTAGACACTGTACTTCACACCTCCTTCAGTGTCTAGACACTGTACTTCCACACCTCCTTCAGTGTGAGGCACTGAACTTCACACCTCCTTCAGTGTGTAGACACTGTACTTCACACCTCCTTCAGTGTGTAGACACTGTACTTCACACCTCCTTCAGTGTGTAGGCACTGAACTTCACACCTCCTTCAGTGTGTAGACACTGTACTTCACACCTCCTTCAGTGTGTAGACACTGTACTTCACACCTCCTTCAGTGTGTAGACACTGTACTTCACACCTCCTTCAGTGTGTAGACACTGTACTTCACACCTCCTTCAGTGTCTAGACACTGTACTTCACGCCTCCTTCAGTGTGTAGGCACTGAACTTCACACCTCCTTCAGTGTGTAGACACTGTACTTCACGTCTCCTTCAGTGTGTGGGACACTGTACTTCACACCTCCTTCAGTGTGTAGACACTGTACTTCACACCTCCTTCAGTGTGTAGACACTGTACTTCACACCTCCTTCAGTGTGTAGACACTGTACTTCACCTCCTTCAGTGTGTAGACACTGTTACTTCACACCTCCTTCAGTGTGTAGACACTGTACTTCACACCTCCTTCAGTGTGTAGACACTGTACTTCACACTCCTTTCAGTGTGTAGACACTGTACTTCACGCCTCCTTCAGTGTGTAGACACTGTACTTCACACCTCCTTCAGTGTGTAGACACTGTACTTCAACCTCCTTCAGTGTGTAGACATTTGTACTTCACACCTCCTTCAGTGTGTAGACACTGTACTTCACACCTCCTTCAGTGTGTAGACACTGTACTTCACACCTCCTTCAGTGTGTAGACACTGTACTTCACACCTCCTTCAGTGTGTAGACATGTACTTCACACCTCCTTCAGTGTGTAGACATTGTACTTCACACCTCCTTCAGTGTGTAGACATTGTACTTCACACCTCCTTCAGTGTAGACATTGTACTTCACACCTCTTCAGTGTGTAGACATTGTACTTCACACCTCCTCAGAGTGTAGACATTTGTACTTCACACTTCCTTCAGTGTGTAGACACTGTACTTCACACCTCCTTCAGAGTGTAGACATTGCACTTCACACCTTCAGTGTGTAGACACTGTACTTCATACCTCCTTCAGAGTTTAGACATTGTACTTCACACCTCCTTCAGAGTGTAGACATTGTACTTCACACCTCCTTCAGTGTGTAGACATTGTACTTCACACCTCCTTCAGAGTGTAGACATTGTACTTCACACCTCCTTCAGTGTAGACATTGTACTTCACACCTCCTTCAGGGTGTAGACATTGTACTTCACACCTCCTTCAGAGTGTAGACATTGTACTTCACACCTCCTTCAGGGTGTAGACATTGTACTTCACACCTCCTTCAGAGTGTAGACATTGTACTTCGCACCTTCAGAGTGTAGACATTGTATTTCACACCTCCTTCAGTGTCGACACTGTACTTCACACCACCTTCAGAGTGTAGACACTGTACTTCACACCTCCTTCAGAGTGTAGACACTGTACTTCACACCTCCTTCAGAGTGTAGACACTGTACTTCACACCTCCTTCAGAGTGTAGACACTGTACTTCACACCTCCTTCAGAGTGTAGACACTGTACTTCCACACCTCCTTCAGAGTGTAGACACTGAATCTTCACACCTCCTTCAGAGTGTAGACACTGTACTTCACACCTCCTTCAGAGTGTAGACACTGTACTTCACACCTCCTTCAGAGTGTAGACACTGTACTTCACACCTCCTTCAGAGTGTAGACACTGTACTTCACACCTCCTTCAGAGTGTAGACACTGTACTTCACACCTCCTTCAGAGTGTAGACACTGTATTTCACACCTCGACGACCAAGTCTTAGAAGTGAAAATTCTTAATTTTATTCTTATTCCTTAATTCAATAAAATACATTTTATAGTATATTACATCTTTCTCTACAACCAAAACCATTTATACACATTTTTTTTTTCATAAATTTCCCCATCAAATTTGAAGAAATATAAGTTTCTCCCAGGTAACATTCTTCTTAACTTGATTATGATAAATTATTCCCTTTCATTTTACTACGTTTCCCACTTGTTTTTTGTGCATTTCCAATAAGTACTATTTTACTCTTAAAGTTTATTGGAATAATTCAGAAATAAAGTATCCAACGAAGATGCTCCTTACATATGAATGTTTATCAAATCTTATCACCGGTATTACAGAAGAAAAAACTTTCAATATTACATTGTATATATATTTACCATCCTGACACCATGGATCAACATACTGCTGAATATCACCTGAAGTAGAAGAACAACAAGCGTCATGTAGATTGCAGTCATTTCAGTCACTGCAAATGGAATGCAGGAAACACATTTTAATGAAATTTTAAACATTAACACAAAATCTTAGGTATCGAGACCTAAATTCATAAAAATGTGATGAAATCAAGAAACAATACAATGCTATCCAGTAAAAATAAAGAATAAAAAAAGGAAAGCACCTTTATTAAATTCTACAATAAACCTTAATAAAGCACTTATCTACATCATTTTTAAGTAAAGAGGTGCCAAAAAAAATACAATTTCATTTTTTTTGTAGAATTAGACCAAAAATCTATGATTACTCACGCACTTTAGAAATTAGAAATATATTATTATATATATATATAATATATATATATATATATATATATATATATATATATATATATATATATATATATATAGATTGCTGGTTTCTTTTTCTGTCTCATAAACACGCTAGATAACAGGGATATCTTGCTACTCCTACTTACACTTTGGTCACACTTCACAGACACGCACATGCATATATATATATACATACATCTAAGTTTTTCTCCTTTTTCTAAATAGCTGTTGTTCCCATTTATTTCTTCTATTGTCCATGGGGAAGTGGAAAAGAATCTTTCCTCCGTAAGCCATGCGTGTCGTATGAGGCGACTAAAATGCCGGGAGCAATGGGCTAGTAACCCCTTCTCCTGTAGACATTTACTAAAAAAGAGAAGAAGAAAAACTTTATAAAACTGGGATGCTTAAATGTGCGTGGATGTAGTGCAGATGACAAGAAACAGATGATTGCTGATGTTATGAATGAAAAGAAGTTGGATGTCCTGGCCCTAAGCGAAACAAAGCTGAAGGGGGTAGGGGAGTTTCGGTGGGGGGAAAATAAATGGGATTAAATCTGGAGTATCTGAGAGAGTTAGAGCAAAGGAAGGGATAGCAGTAATGTTGAATGATCAGTTATGGAAGGAGAAAAGAGAATATGAATGTGTAAATTCAAGAATTATGTGGATTAAAGAAAAGGTGGGATGCGAGAAGTGGGTCATAATAAGCGTGTATGCACCTGGAGAAGAGAGGAATGCAGAGGAGAGAGAGAGATTTTGGGAGATGTTAAGTGAATGTATAGGAGCCTTTGAACCAGTGAGAGAGTAATTGTGGTAGGGGACCTGAATGCTAAAGTAGGAGAAACTTTTAGAGAGGGTGTGGTAGGTAAGTTTGGAGTGCCAGGTGTAAATGATAATGGGAGCCCTTTGATTGAACTTTGTATAGAAAGGGGTTTAGTTATAGGTAATACATATTTTAAGAAAAAGAGGATAAATAAGTATACAATATATGATGTAGGGCGAAATGACAGTAGTTTGTTGGATTATGTATTGGTAGATAAAAGACTGTTGAGTAGACTTCAGGATGTACATGTTTATAGACGGGCCACAGATATATCAGATTACTTTCTAGTTGTAGCTACACTGAGAGAAAAAGGTAGATGGGATACAAGGAGAATAGAAGCATCAGGGAAGAGAGAGGTGAAGGTTTATAAACTAAAAGAGGAGGCAGTTAGGGTAAGATATAAACAGCTATTGGAGGATAGATGGGTAATGAGAGCATAGGCAATGGGGTCGAAGAGGTATGGGGTAGGTTTAAAAATGTAGTGTTAGAGTGTTCAGCAGAAGTTTGTGGTTACAGGAAAGTGGGTGTGGGAGGGAAGAGAGCGATTGGTGGAATGATGATGTGAAGAGAGTAGTAAGGGAGAAAAAGTTAGCATTATGAGAAGTTTTTACAAAGTAGAAGTGATGCAAGGAGGGAAGAGTATATGGAGAAAAAGAGAGAGGTTAAGAGAGTGGGTGAAGCAATGTAAAAAGAGAGCAAATGAGAGAGTGGGTGAGATGTTATCAACAAATTTTGTTGAAAATAAGAAAAAGTTTTGGAGTGAGATTAACAAGTTAAGAAAGCCTAGAGAACAAATGGATTTGTCAGTTAAAAATAGGAGAGGAGAGTTATTAAATGGAGAGTTAGAGGTATTGGGAAGATGGAGGGAATATTTTGAGGAATTGTTAAATGTTGATGAAGATAGGGAAGCTGTGATTTCGTGTATAGGGCAAGGAGGAACAACATCTTGTAGGAGTGAGGAAGAGGCAGTTGTGAGTGTGGGGGAAGTTCGTGAGGCAGTAGATAAAATGGAAGGGGGTAAGGCAGCCGGGATTGATGGGATAAAGATAGAAATGTTAAAAGCAGGTGGGGATATAGTTTTGGAGTGGTTGGTGCAATTATTTAATAAATGTATGGAAGAGGGTAGGTACCTAGGGATTGGCAGAGAGCATGCATAGTTCCTTTGTATAAAGGCAAAGGGGATAAAAGAGAGTGCAAAAATTATAGGGGGATAAGTCTGTTGAGTATACCTGGCAAAGTGTATGGTAGAGTTATTATTGAAAGAATTAAGAGTAAGACGGAGAACAGGATAGCAGATGAACAAGGAGGCTTTAGGAAAGGTAGGGGGTGTGTGGACCAGGTATTTACAGTGAAATATATAAGTGAACAGTATTTAGATAAGGCTAAAGAGGTCTTTGTGGCATTTATGGATTTGGAAAAGGCGTATGACAGGGTGGATAGGGAGGCAATGTGGTAGATGTTGCAGGTGTATGGTGTAGGAGGTAGGTTACTGAAAGCAGTGAAGAGTTTTTACGAGGATAGTGAGGCTCAAGTTAGAGTATGTAGGAAAGAGGGAAATTATTTCCCAGTGAAAGTAGGCCTTAGACAAGGATGTGTGATGTCACCGTGGTTGTTTAATATATTTATAGATGGGGTTGTAAGAGAAGTAAATGCGAGGGTCTTGGCAAGAGGGTGGAGTTAAAAGATAAAGAATCACACATAAAGTGGGAGTTGTCACAGTTGCTCTTTGCTGATGACACTGTGCTCTTGGGAGATTCTGAAGAGAAGTTGCAGAGATTGGTGGATGAATTTGGTAGGGTGTGCAAAGAAGAAAATTGAAAGTGAATACAGGAAAGAGTAAGGTATGAGGATAACAAAAAGATTAGGTGATGAAAGATTGGATATCAGATTGGAGGGAGAGAGTATGGAGGAGGTGAATGTATTCAGATATTTGGGAGTGGACGTGTCAGGGATGGGTCTATGAAAGATGAGGTGAATCATAGAATTGATGAGGGGAAAAGGGTGAGTGGTGCACTTAGGAGTCTGTGGAGACAAAGAACTTTGTCCTTGGAGGCAAAAAGGGGAATGTATGAGAGTATAGTTTTAACCAACGCTCTTATATGGGTGTGAAGCATGGGTGATTCAATGATGCAGCGAGGGATAAAGGGTGGAGGCAGTGGAGATGTCATGTCTGAGAGCAATGTGTGGTGTGAATATAATGCAGAGAATTCGTAGTTTGGAAGTTAGGAGGAGGTGCGGGATACCAAAACTGTTGTCCAGAGGGCTGAGGAAGGGTTGTTGAGGTGGTTCGGACATGTGGAGAGAATGGAGCGAAACAGAATAACTTCCAAAAGGTATCTCTGTAGTGGAAGGAAGGGGGGGTAGGGGGGCGGCCTAGGAAAGGGTTTGGGGGGAGGGGGGAAAAGGGGGTTTGTGGCAGGGGCAT